TTCCAGTGAAGCTCGAAGAACAGCATCTCATTTTCTCAGCAACCCTGCAGCCTCCAGGACTCTAAATCGAGTTTAATAACTTCAGAGCCTAATTCCACCCTTCCATGTTCTTTCACAACCTACCCCCACACTCTGGTTCTGTCATGACATGGATTGCTTTCAGCATAGCCTTCCCATTCCCTCCCACTCTCAGCTCTCATCAATAATTCACCTTCTCTCTGTCCTCACTTACTATCAATAAGGCCCTTGTCTGCCCAGCCCTTTCATAGATCTCTCTCTGGACTCCATCTTCACCCAAAGTGGTGGTGTCGTGGCTCAGTGTTTAGCACTGTTACCTTACAGCACTAGGGACTTGGGTTCAATTCCACGCTTGGGTGACTGTTCAAACTCCACACAGAAATTCTCCCTGTGTCTGCTTTGGTTTCCTCCCACAGTCCAAAGATGTACACATTGGATGGATTGGCCATGCTAAATTTTCTATTGTGTCTGGGAATGTGCAAACTAGGTGGATTAGCCATGGGAAGTGCAGGGTTGCAGGGACAGGTTTGATGAGGGGGTGGGATGCTCTCTGGGGGATTGGTACAGACTCATGCACTGCAGGGATTCTATGATTTCTATCTGCTCACCTCTTTCCACAACCTCCTGCCCTCCTCACTCACCTTCTCTTCAGCATAAAAAAACTTTTCCTAACTGCTGTCAGTGCTATGAACGGTCACTAAACTCTGCTTTCTCCCCACAGATGCTACCAGACCTGCTGAGTTTCACCAGCAATTTCTATTTTTGTTTCAGATCTCCAGCATCTGCAGTTCTTCATTTCATCTCACTTTTAACGGTATCAACAAACACAGAACTTACAAGTTGTTTCTATAGAGAATTGTTACTCTCTGAGAACAGGGTTCTTTTTTATTTCATTCATGGGAATGTGGGCGTCACTGGCTGGGCCAGCATTTATTGCTGGTCCCTAATTATCTGGGGCAGTGTGTCATTGCCATGTTTCTCCAGTCACATCATAAGACCATAAGAAATAGGAACAGCAGTAGGCTGTTTAGCCTGCCAAGCCTTCTCCACCATCTAATAGGATCATGGCTGTTCTGACGTTCCTCGTGTCCAATTTCCTGTGTTTTCCCCATGGCCTGGGACTCTCCTACTGATCAAAAATCTATCTCAGATTTAATATATACAAGGACTCTGCTCCAACAGGTCTCTGCGGCAAGGAGTTCCGAAACACTCATAGAAACATAGAAGATAGGTGTAGGAGGAGGCCATTCAGCCCTTCATGCCTGCTCCGCCATTCATGACAATCATGGCTGATCGTCCAACTCAATAGCCTAATCCTGCTTTCTCCCCATAACCTTTGATCCCATTCACCTCAAGTGCTTTATCTAGCCGCTTCTTGAATGCATTCAATGTTTTGGCATCTACTACTTCCTGTGGTAATGAATTCCACAGGCTCATCACTCTTTAGGTGAAGAAATGTCTCCTCATCTCCGTCCGAAATGGTCTATCCTAAACCCGCATACTGTGACCCCTGGTTCTGGACACACCCACCATCGGGAACACCCTGTCTGGTCCTGTTAGAATTTTATAAGTCTCTACGAGATCCTACCCTCATTTGTTCCTCCTCATCTCAGTCTTAAATTGACGCTCCTTTATTCTGAGATGATGCTGTCTGCTCCTAGACCCACCCATGGGGGGGAAGCATCCTCTCAGTATTTACTTTGTCAAGGGCCTGAAGAATCATACATGTTTCAAGAGGTTACCTCTCATTCTTCTAAATACCAATGAGTAGAGTCCCAACCTATTTAACCTTTGTCCTTAAGGCAATCCCCCCATACCAGGGACCGTCCTAGTGAACCTTCTTTGAACTACTTCAAGCGAAATATCTTTCCTTAAACAAGGCAGCCAAAACTGCTCTTACTACTCCAGATGTGGTTTCTTAACACCTTTCCTACTCAAGACTCATAGCCTTTGCAAAAGCACAACATTCAGCCAGATGGATTTTTAACAATAATAACTGTTGCTTAGGCGGTCTTTTTAATTCTAGATTTTTTTTTTATTGAATTCAAATCTGCAGCGATGGAATTTGAATCCATCTCCCCACAGCATTAACCCTGAGTGCTGGATTACGACTTCACTGACATTACCCGATTAATCTGTCACCTCTTCCCTGATAGATGGTCCACTGCCTGGGAGGATAGTTGAGGCAGGAACCCTCATGAGCTTTAAAAAGTATTTGAATGAGCACTGGAAGTATCATAACATTCAAGGCTATGGGGCTAATGTGGGAAAGTGGGACTACTTAGGGAGTATATTTTTGGTGGTACAGACACAGTGGCCTCTTCTGTACTGTAGGATTCGACATTCCAAACTTCAGATTTGGGCCTTGAGCACGGTCTTTGAGGCTCACATACATGCAGCACAATCACTTGATATCCTTTATCCACAATTATAATGACATTGTTGTTGTAATTCAAGTGAGACCTGATCACCATGCGAGTGAGTCTGTATAAATGTAATTTGAACAGACATAGTGGGATCTGATTAGTGAATGAGTGCAAGTCTGTATAAATGGCAATCAGATAGACATGGCTTGTGTCACAGTTCAACTTGATCTGATCACTGCTGAGTGACGCTGTAAAAATGTAACTGAGGCACAACTTGTGTCATGGTTCAGTGGGATCTGATCACTGAGAGAGTGAGTCAGTCTGTTCAAATGTAACTCAAGTAGACAAAGCTTTTGTCATAGTTCAGTGAGATTTGGTCACATCATGCCATTTGCAGCTTTGTGAAGAGCTGTTTTGATACGGTGGAATAGCTGAATTCAGATGTACAATTCTGGGAAAGATTGCTCAGACTTGGGAGGTGGCAAAGTTATCAGGGACTTTGGAGATGGGACAATAGTTTGCACGGACATTGGGATCAAGTGTTTGTTTATGGTGGAGTGGGTGATGATGGCAGATTTGAAGGGGGGGTGACAGAGAGGAAGGTGGGGCGGGGAAGAGAGATAGAGAAAGTGAGAGAGAGAGTCAGAGACAGATGTTTAGTGGGAATCGATTTGGGTGACCAGGAGGTCGGTCCTGTGGACAAAAGGTGTGAGATGGGAGGGAACCAACCAAAGATGGAGATTCAGGTCTCAGGGCAAGAACTCTCAGGGTTCTGAGGAAGTGTCACTCAACCGGAAATGTTAACTCTGATTTCTCTCCACGGATGTAGACAACTGCTGAGCTTTTCTAACAATTTCTGGGTTTTTTTTCCTCTAAGGATGGTTTGGCCTAGTGAAGGCGAGCTAAGCAGCAGACAGCTGATCAGATCGTCTCTACTTTAGTGACAAAAAGCTCCGTGAGCTCCTCACCCTTGTTGTTGATGTGAGGATGGAGGAGACAGAGACCAACTTCAAAACAAACTTACAAAAAGATTCATCACATTGTGTGTTTAATAAAAAGCCAATTTATTTGACTTAATCCAGATTGTTCACCCCATAACTGGGCTGGAGGTTATTCACATCAGCAGAATGTAGAATTAGTAGGGAAACTAACATTTCATGATTGACATCTGTCACACAATTAAATTACATTATTCTGCTTAAGTATAGGCAATACAGATCTTGATCCTATAACATTAGGAGACCTTGTTTACCTTCATTTGACACGGAAGTGTACTGTAGAATTGCAAACAAAGTGAAAATGATAACCTGTTTCAGAGATAGTAGGAACTGCAGATGCTGGAGAATCTGAGATAACAAGGTGTAGAGCTGGATGAACACAGCAGGCCAAGCAGCATCAGAGGAGCAGGAAAGCTGA